AAATTAAAAAATTAAAAGGGATAAATTTGTCAATAAAATTAAAAAATTCTAATTTGCTAACGATTTGGTACAAAAAGTTACATAAACTATCTTTTTCAATTTGCTAGCAGCTTGAACCCTAATTGTTATCCGTTAGTTTCAAATTGCTAAATAAAAATTTTATCAAACACTTTATTTGTAATAGTTTCGAAATATATAAGTTTACTAAACACCTATATTTAGCGGTTTAGGTAAAATCATTAATCATTACCCCAAAACCATTATACCAAATGGCCCTCAAAGCAAAAACTAATGGTCACATTCGAAATTTTGAATAGTAGAAAATTAATGAAAACTACTTTTTCGTAAGCCTTCTAAGAAACTGAGGTTTGATTGATGAGAGGGAGAGTAAAGTCCTTCTTAACTAGTCTAGAACAGCTTACTGAAATTAAATGATAATTAACATTCCATGATTGGTAAGTCTTTGAGAACTCTTGTAGGCTGGATGAGACATCTTCCTAGAAATCAATGATTTAAAAATAAAAAACAAAATTAGGTAGTAAAAAAACCAAATATGGTGCATTGCATAAATGTTGTTTCAATTACTATTTATTATATTAAGATTTTTTTGGACCACCTATTATATTGAGATTTAAAGTATGAATAAGTAAGAAAGACAGAATTACATAATTATATGAATTCATTTACTTGGAAAAATTGCTATGAATTCTATTCTTTACCCCCATAAAAAATAATTCACCTAAAATAACCAATTAATTGTTTGCAACTATTAGCTTTACATATGTTTAAATTTTAATTATTGGCAGGATCTCTACTTGGTTCGTATGGCTTCTTTAGCTGAAGTACGCGACATAACACAGGATATATGTAGACAGTTTGAGCTGGAAGTTATTCTGATATGGGCAAACCGTATCCCTCCGACATATCTCCACCATGAAAGGGGCCCCCCACTTCCACTTGAACCTATTTTACGCTTTGAGGATGTTGATGAAAGGGGCTCTCCACTTCCACTTAAAACCATTTTATACTTTCAGGATTTTGCTTGCGTCACTAATTCGTTTCATTTAGCTGTAAAGCGCCTACTCAAATGGCATTATGAAGAAGGAGAGGGCATTGTGGGCAAAGCACTTAAATATAATCGACCTTTCTACGTTCCTGTCATTGAGTCGGTAAGAAATGTTTGCTCATATGGTTTTTACTTTTCGAAAAAAAGGTCATTTTCCTGGTGCTCTTGCAATTAAGCTTAGCAGTGCCTATGCCAGCTGTGGTGATTTTGTAGTCGAGTTTTTGTTGCCACGTAGTAGTATGACACTTCAGATACAAAAACAGTTGGTACACCGTATCATAGATTACTTGAAAGATGCAACGCCACGTTTTGTCACCTATGGCAATCAGGACACTCTAGTTGAGCTAGCTGAACATGACACTGCAGTCTCAGATACCATGCCCGTTTTCAATTTAAATCTAATTAACCAGACTGTTGGAAATGTTATGAATGGGCAATTGCCTATGCAACAGGTATCCATTTGCTCTTCATGTTGAACTTATTTCCTGTGCACTTTCTTTGATATTTTTAGGGTCCGTTTGGTTCAGTTCGTCCAAGTGTTTCAGCTTGTTAGCACCATTCATGTTTCATAAGTTTAAATTTCTCTTTTAAAAATTTATATTTTTAAACATTTTTTTAACCTTAAAAAAATCATAAATAGTAAAAAATCAAAAATTTCAAATTCAAGTTTTTCATAAACTTCTTTTTTATTTTATTTTTACTCACTTTTTAATGTCTCAAGTAATTTTTAAATTTTCCCTCCAATAAAGATTTAAACTTATCATTCATAAACAGTAAAAAAAAAAAAAAAAACCAAAAACTCCAACAAGCTGCACTAAGCAGGTCTTTATGTAATTGTCAATATACTAAGAGTGCCATATCCATCAGTGTTCTTTTGTTGATCAGCTACATTACACTGGAGTTTCAGATGCCATGCCCACACAAGGCAATCTACCAGCTCAATCAACTGATTCTGTTGGTTTAAAAGTAAAAACCTTTGGGGATAACCCAAGGGATGGGAATGTTTTGCAACGGCCTCACGAACAGGTACTGTTTATTATATGTTATTGTATCAAAAATGCTCATAAACTAAAGCACTGCATCGTCTTAGTATTACTGTGGAAATTGGAATTGTAAATATGCCTCTTACACGATAAACTAAAACATTCAGGGTTCTCTTATTCAGCAACATGTAAGTGCAACTTCAAATGTCAAGGCCTCGACAGAGGATATACTGGCTCCACCAATTGGTGATTCCAATTTGAATGAAAGAATATCCTCTATTGGGATTAATCAAACAGCTGAATATCATGTTACAGATATGCAAGTGCCTCATAAACAGGTACCTGTTACTATAAATTAATCATATTCAAACCTTAATGCCTCATAAATTGATATAGCTGCATTGCCTTATTTTTACTGGAATCATTATGAAATTGTGATGAACGGTGTCATGGTTCCTTGTATATATTCTTTTTTCCCTTTTACCTTTATATACAATCATGATAAAAGGTTTTTAAATGTATGCTTATATTCTATTGGTATATTAACCAAATTCAAGATTTGTTATTAAATTTTCTAACTTTGAATTCAATTCCACCTTATTCATTGATAGGGAAACAAAAGACAAAGAATATCAAGATTTGATGTTTGGAATCATTATGAGAAGGAAGAAGTTGTAGATGGAGAATTATTGGCCAAGTGTAAATATTGTGACTTTAAGACAGATGTTCAAGCAAAAAAGGACATCACACCTAAGAAAACACTTTGAAAATCGTCATAGAAAAATTAAAAATGTACATCAATGAACAAATCTTCCATCTAAAAATTTAGAACCTCAAAGTGCTTTCAAAGAAAAAAATGTGTTGGATGAAGGCAAGATTCATTGCATATGGCAAGTGTAATTATTAAGTACAAGCTTCTGTTGAGCGTAATTCATGATGAACATCTCAAGAGTCTTTTCAAAACGCCGTCATCGGAGTTTGAGTTTCAATCTGAAAAAGATCTTGAACCTCACATCCTTCATATCTACAATGAAGAGAAGCATAAACTTTGCAAATATTTTGACAAGCTCTCTTCTCACTCTAATTTGATAATTAACTTGTGGGAGGATGATACTAAAGAGATTGTGAATTGTTGCTTGACAGTGCAGTTTATTGATGACAGATGGACATTAAAGAAGAAGATTCTTCGTTTTGAAATATTAGAGCATGATTTTGATGCAGCATCATTGTGTGAGATTTTTAAGAGAGTGCTTTTGGATTGGAATATTGAAGAGAAAACATGCTCCTTAACATTCCATAGTTCCTTACCTAATGTTGAGATAGTTCATGATGAGAAAATTTGGCCTTTTGGCATTTTCTACCTCAATTATGATAAGTGCATTAGAGACATAAATTATATGATTGCAGATATATCTTTAAAAAGCATTTATCAAGTGTATGAGAAGATGAATCATCAAGATAATATAGGTTATACTTTGATGAATGTGGAATGCAGTAATAGTTGGAGAATTTGTAGCCTGATTTTGTCTATTGTTGCTATTCTTCACCCATCCTTGAAGCTTGACTTTGTGGAGTTTTTGTACAGGGAAATCTATGAGGATGCTATTGCAAAGGAACACTTGGACAAAATTTCTAATTTTCTTAGAGGTCTTTATGATAAATATGCTAGTAGTTGCAACAATCACACAAAATTTACTACTGCCATTGGGGCTACTTGTTCTTCATCAATGGCTAATGTTGATGATAAAGTGTTGGACTCTTTTAGGAAGTACAAAGTATCCAAACAAAGTCGACCAAAACCTTATCAGTATTTAGAAGAGGATGAAGGCTTCTCAATGAAAATTAACATTTTAAATTGTTGGTGCAAAAACAGCTCAAGATATCCAACACTAGGGACGATGGCTTGTGACTTTTTAGCCATACCTTTGTCAACCATTGTGTCAAATTCTGCATTTACCACAAAGGTTAAGAAAATTGTTTCCAGCAATAGTGATCAAGATTTAAAGATCATAAATGCAATAATATGCTGCCACAGCTGGTTGACATCAGTAAAAGCATGTAAGTCCTGCTCTTTTTGATGTGATAGTATAAAAATGGTCAAATTATTAATAGTTGGTATGTTCTTAATTACAGTAATTAATTGGCTCATTTGCTTGATTTGATAAATATATCTTTTTTCTAGTTAAGATGAAATAGGATACAAGAATATCTTATTTACATAATAATATATGCTATAGTAATACAATAAACCTCCTAATGATACATATATATGCCACAATAAAAGACCCAAATTTTGAATATATATTATTACTTGTTTTTTATATTAAAATGTTCATCCAAATAGTTCATTCTTGGTTTGCAGCATCAGGCAATGAGAAGAGTGATGAAAAGTTAACGAGGAAGCCAAGAGTGTGGTCAAAAAAGGTTTTATCCATTACTTTCTAATTTACTTTAGTATACAAAGCTTTGTTTAATTTTATTGATATTTTTAAGGACTTACAAATGGCATACATTAACAAATCATCATACAATTATTTTCATGTTTGTAACTATCTGTTGCAGGATGTTCGAGAATACCTAGTTTGGGATTTTACAAAAGAAGATTTACAGCTTTTGGGAAGTTGAGAGAATCATAAATGCACAAGGTTTGTATGTGTTTTAACATCAAAATAAATTACAATATGACTTTACAATTTGAAACCTTATTGAGGAGTTCAACTTTTGTTTATACAGACAATTGAAGGTCAAAGAATCAATCTTGACTCCTCTTGTCAACCCTCTAGTTGAGGCTATTATCCAAGGAACACCGCAAGTGTATTATATTGGGAATGAGGTAAAAGGCTGCTCAGAATAAACTTGCTTTTATTTTCTCAAGTTTGTTTCAAAATTAAACATACGCCTGATTCACTTAATCTACATTAATTTGACTTTTTTTCTCTCTAAAAGGCCATGAACATGAACTTTGATTTACTTAAGAGAAGGTCCCAAGAAAATCCAAACATGTTCTTGAAGCATGATTATGTGGATTCTTCAACAGTGGCAAATATCATTTACTTTTAAGTCTCAATTAATACAATAATTAACTTATAAAGACATCAATTTATAATATATCGAAAAAACTACCTAGAAATATGATGTATTAATTCATATTGATTTTTTAAATAAAAAAATTAGAGTTTCTTGCTTAATAGAGGCGAGTCTATCATACCAAGTTGGATCACTTCTAAGAAACAAACCAAGACATGCAAGGTATTAATTATCTGAATGTTCTAGCTGGCTCTTTATTTGTATAACTACATATATATGATTTGCTAATATTGTTGTCATTGTAGTTGTTTCTACCATTCTGTTTGTCAAACCATTGGACCCTTTTCTATGTCGACTTCAAGTATCACAAATTTGTATGGTTGAATTCACTTAGTGGCACTACAGAAGTGCCTAATATTATTTTAAAACAAATTAAGAGCTGGTTTAAAAATACTTTATTACCTGCCATGGGCCTGAACAGTGCTACAAATTGGCCTCTCGAGGTTCCAACAAATATTCCTAAGCAATAGAAGTGAGTCACCTTACTAATTAATTAATCTTTATTGCATGCCACTGGTCGGTTTTTATTCCATGGATTAGTATTGTTATGATCTTATGTGGTAGTTATAGTGTTAATTTTTGTTTAATTTTGACAAGGCAGTGGGATTGATTGTGGCATTTTTGTAATGAAGTATGTGGATTGCCTTACTCATGCCAATTGCATTGGTTTCCCCTTTTCTCATAAGGACATGCCTCACTTTCGGAAGTGTATATTTCTTGATTTATTCAATGAAAGAATATATGTTTGTGAAAGGCTTGTAAAAAGTTTATGGTGTTTTTGTATGTTTCCCTTTTTCTAATTAATGATTTTTTTTCCCTTCTAATACTTGTAATGATCTTTTCCCTTTGTTTTGACACCAACCCACAGAGCAAAGCAAGTGGGATGATTTTCTTATCAATGATCATTTTTTTTTCTCTTCTAATACTTGTAATGGTCTTTTTCCTTTGTTTTGATACCACACTGCAAAACGAAGTAGATGGGATGATTTTCTAATTATTTATCTTTATTTTTTTCTCTTCTAATGTTTGTAATGGACTTTTTCCATATTAACCTGCAGAGCAAACCAGATGGGGTGATTTTCCAAGTAATGATAATTTTTTTTCCTCTTCTAATGCTTGTAATGATCTTTTTTCCTTGTTTTGATACCATCCTGCATAGGAAAGCAGATGGTATGATTGTCCTGCCCATCAAAGTGGTGTACGTACATATAGCCTTTTGCTCAAATGGTTATATATGTTGTTAAATGTCTATTTCACTCACTGATGCAGACGAGGAATGGTTATTGGAAGGATTGTTAATTAGTAAGCCCCACATAAAATTTCTTTTTTCTTCACTCCTAAAACAAGCACCATTTTTTCCTTTAGCAATAAAAAAGGTTAAAATTTAATTTAAAAATTTTTTATCCAACAACACAGCGTTAGATCAACCAAACCTATTGTCTGCTTAGGAGTTTTGATTGATAAAAATCTCCACCTGCCACTAGCAGACAAGGAAAAACAATTCATTACATCCAACTCCTTGTCTAAATATGTCTTCTACAAAGAGTTTGATTAAGCTAAATATTTTTAATAATGATCAATTAAGTATTTAACTAATTAAATTATCACAAAATTTGCTGCTCAAAATCACCTAGAAGTTTAAAAATGAAATATACACTTAAAAAGGTGACAACTTCAATTTGGGTGGATTAAGTAAGAAGGATCCAGGGAATAAGTACTTAAAAAATTCGAATCTAATTCAGAAGACTCAATCGCACAACGTGGATAAAGGAGGATTAAATTGCAAAAGACCCAAACTTAACCAAACACAAAGCCCATTTGCATAACAAGTAAAATTTGATCCAAATATAATGCCTAGGGTACAAAAACCAAACCCCATACCATAAGACTTCTATGACCCAAACAAATCCTTAAACTCAAATCCCTGTCCTTCTAACCGGAAACCCACCAACCCGTATCTGCCTAAAATCCGTCCCATACCCGGTTTTTCATTAGAAACCCTAAAAAGGGGTCTCGCCTCTCTGTGGCTCCGCCGCTTTCCTTCATCGTTCACCTCTTCTTCACCGATCCGCTTCTTCACCCAAACAGCCATCCTCTACCTCATCAAAACCCTAGACGCCGGTGAGCCCACGGAAAAAAAACTAGCTGCCTCTCGGTGGAAAACCACGAAAGACGCCAGGGGAAGCTCTCTCCCGAACCACCCGATAAATACCTGCCACTGGGGTTCTCTCCACTGATTCAAGCCACTGGGAGACACACAGGAGAGTTGAGAAACTGGAGAAAATCAACAGGGAAGAAGGAAGCAGAAAGAGGCGAGAAGGGAGAAAGGCAGCTACCGGGATCCTTTGCATCCGAGGAGCTCAAGAAAAGCCCAGAAAAATCAGACTCTGACTGGCCTAGTTGTCAAGGAGAAGAGGCGGATTTCATCTTGGAAATGGAAAGTCCTAGCTGCTGAGTTCCACCGTCACTTGGTATTTCGCTTCCAAGCTCTTATTCTTTCATTATGTGTTGGGTTGGATTATTCAGAATACATCTTGTTTGTTGCTTGTTTCAAGCAAATTTTCAAGTTTTGGGCGAAATAATGTGCATTGCCTTTTCTAATATATCTACAACCTTTGCTAGTAGCTCAAGAAATCTAAAACAGGTTATAAAAACTGATGTCAGCCTTAAAGAAAACAAAGGATTTACGCATGAAGCATATATAGAAGGCAAGGAAATGGTACTTAAACTAGGAAACTATGTTTTCAGGTATGGTCAAAGTCTAGATTACATAGTTTAGAAATTAAAGATTTCAATTTGGACGTTATTCATTTGTCGGGACTAGAATAGGAAGGGCAAGGACATTATTATTATTATTATTATTAAAAAGTTGTAGAAAGGCAGATGAAAATTTTGTAAGATAATGAGAATAGTTCAAGTAAAAAAGGTATTACACACTTGAACAAGCACTAAGTCATGAAAATGTAATAATGAAAAATGTACATCAATAATGAAATCTTCAAATTTGAATTTAACAAAACGAAGTTGATGATTTAGCACAACCTTCCATTTAGCATAACTCGGGATGAAATTTTCAAGAATGCTCTCAAAATGTTGCAACTGGAGTTTAAGCTTCAATTTGAAAAAGATTTAATGTATAGCATACTTCATCTCTATGATGAAGAGAAAAATAAACTCAGTAGATATTTGGATAAGCATACTTCTTGTTGGTTTAATTTAACAATTAATTTCTGGAAGGATGAGGAGGTCATGAATTGTTGCTTGACTATGCAATTTATTGATGTTTATAGGGAATTGAAAAAGATTCTTAGTTTTGAAAGATTAGAGGATGATTTCAGTGCATAATCATGAAAACTTAATTGAACCCATGTCTTTCTAACTGGAAACCCACCAACCCATTTCTGTCTAAAATCCGTTCCAGACCCGGTTTTTCATCAGAAGCCCTGAAAAGGAGTCTCACCTCTCTGGAGCTCTTCCACCACGACCCTTTATCCTTCCCTTCTCCCTCACTGATCCACTTCTTCAACCAAACAGCCATCCTCTACCTCATCAAAACCCTAGCCGCTGGTGAACCAACGAAAAAAAAAAACTAGCTGCTACTTGGTGGAAAATGATATATGGGAGAATCTGTAGCTGATGTGGGACTCGGATGCTGATTTGGAAGCCACATAGGATTAGTATATGTCTTTAGCACGTGTTGCTGTTTTATTCATGTCTTGTTGTTTTGGTGTAGATTAGTCGTAATTAAAGGCTGCATTGTTTCATTTGGGAATAGGCTTAAGAAATTGTTATATTCTTCATCCTCTACTATTCTCTATAATTCTCTTGAGAAGCTATGTCTGTAATTTTCTGGTTTCAGACCATTACATTGAGGAATAAATTGGAAATCTTTCTTTCAATTTCTACTAGATTTCCCTTGTATTTTCTCTGGAGAAATTTATTGATAGCTAATCAGGCTTTCCTTTTTTCTCTCACCTATCTTTCATTTTATCTGTATCATTTGGTATCAGAATTCATCTTTCCTTGGACATGGCTGAGATTCAAGTTCAGGAGAGTGAAAATCCGTGGACATATTTGGTGGCCTTGGCAGATCTGACAGCATTGAAGCAGACGGGTACAGTGAGCGGATTTAAGGAGCTATTTGATCTTCTCTAAACGAGACTCACTGAAAAGCAAGCAGTCTCTTTCTTTGTTGATGGATTAAAGGAAGATATCCGGCCATCTGTGAGGTTGTTCAAACCCCCATCCTTGTATAATGCTTATTGCTTGCTTTCCTACTAGAATCATGCTTGGAAGACGTTCAAGGAATAGCTAACACCAAAACCCATACCTGAGCAAGAAGAAATTCTGTGAGCTGTAGATGAAATAGTGCAGTGCAGGTGGTGGAAGCATCACAGGAGAAAACCACTGCCGGAGAGCAAGATAAATTGGTGGCTATGGAACTTGACTAGAATCCACCACTGGTGACTCCTATCGCTGAAGATGATTTCTTTATATCCTGTGTGGTTGCTGAAGATGAGTCCGTCAAACCTGCAACTTTTGATGAACACAACTTTCCTAAACACAAGCTGTTCAGTAAAATGCCACAAAGAGCTGCAAGGTACAAGCAATTGGATGAGCTTCTCAAATTTCCATTGGGTGAGTTCTCAAAGCACTTCAGTACTCTAGTCTTTGTTGTTGCTGAATTGGTTACAATGAGTCAGAAGAGAAAGGTGGATGAATAGTGGGAGCCCTTGGCTTTGCTATTCCCAAATCCAGGTATATCTGACAAACAAACCCCTTATTTAAGCGGTTTTCAGGGAGATAGTGGAATAATTTTGCCACAACCTTTGTTTGATGCCTGTAGATATGCATTGGCAAAACAATTAAAGGATTTAACCAATTCCTTGCATGAGGGAATATTCATTGAAACTGCTACTGCTCTTGGGTTAGTAGGTGTATTTAATGGTTTTAATCTTGATCAATTGCCTAGAGGTATTGCTGTTGGCTGTGTTAGTTGTCCTAATACTTGTTCTTCTAATTTGAAGAATGTACAAGGAGTGGCTTTGTACAATCCTGTGCTTGCAGGACAATCCTCATTATATTGTTGATGGTTATTTGTTCATTGCTATCAAATTTTTCCCAAGAATTTGTTTTGGTGTCCATACTGATATTGACCTAGTGGTACCCATGGAGGATGAACGTGTTAAAATTGATAAATTAATGGCTTAAAATTGGTAAATTAATGGCCATCTTAGTTCTCCAATGAAACATCCTGTGCAAAGTGCTTTCTATGTGGATTGTGGTGAAATTAATGGCCCTGTAGTCGCAGTTTATGATAAGAGTAATGTTATGAGAGAATTTTCTGCAGATGCTGAATCACCACAAATTTTTGATATTGACGCTGATTCATTGAAGGTGAAAT